CTACGACCCAATCCTGAAGCGGCGCATGATTTGGGGTTGGGTTCCCGAAGAGATGGAGCAAGAGCAGAATGTGAAGGTTCAGGGATGGGCTGGCGTGCAAGTTCTACGTGATATCGTCTACGATGCGAAGCAGAAGCGTCTCAAGTACCCACCAATACCACAGTTGAAAGCTCTGCGCAAGGTGCGCCTCCTCACCAAGACTCTGGTGCTTTCGTCTGACACTGTCAGTACTGTTCTGAATCCTTCCGAAGCAGAGACAATACATCTGGAGATTATTGCAAAGTTTACTTTTCCCGCAAACCTTTTTGACAATTCTAAAGGATACACCAAGGAAAACGCCCCTGAGGTGGGCTTGCGCATCCGCACTAACTCCGATGGATCAGAATACACAAATGTGGCATTGATGATGCCTGCGGCTGAGGTCGATGCAAACATCTGCGATGCATGCACCTATGCAATAGGGCGGAACGCATCCTTTAAGGTCTATCCCATCAATAGTAACAAGAATCCCGTGTTGAACTGCAGTAAGGAATGCGCAAAGGAGCGCACCTGTATGTCGTGGGCACTGCATGAAATCGAAACTAAAGGCATGGTGCAGTGCTCACTGTACTGGGACCACAGTTCTAAGGTGTCCATTCCGAATAAGATTGTGTCTAGCGGTGTCGTTAATGAACCGCTTCTACATTTAGAACGTAATAAATCTGGTACCATTGGCTACAACTTTCCACTGCACGGTCGTGCGCCGTTGGCATCGAGCACCGAGTTTGAGCTGCGTATCTTTGTTGATGGCAGTGTCATTGAGGTGTTTAAGGACGACGGTTTGCAGACCATCAGCGGCCGTGTGTACATCCCCGATGGAGTCGCTCACAGCGGTGTTGGACTCTACACCCGCAACACGGGTGATGTTCCTGTCAGTGCCAACATTCAGGTATTTTCTATGGGCAGCATATGGAATTAGCCTCGGCCACTTAGAGACCAGTATAACTTCACCAACACCCTATAACTGCACCTCGTATATTACTTTTGCTTGAGTGAACCAGAATAATAAAGGAGAACAATATCAAGCGGCGTTAAACATGTGTCTGATAATAAAAAAAATTTAAACCAAGAAAGTCCTAACTTAATTTTTCCCTTTTTACTCCACCTAAATAGGTGAATCTATAAAAAATTTCCTTCCTTTTAAAAATATCTGACTACATTTTCTTGAACGATAATAGGTGAAAAGAAATAAAACATTTACTTTTTGAAAAAAATATGATTGCTTTTGCTAGAACAATGAACTGTGAAAAAAAAAATCAGGTTTTGTGTGCAATAATTATACACACTATGCACACTAATTTCATTTCACTTGTATGGACAAATTTGAAAATGAATTTTGGTTTAAAAATTTTAAACTTTCTTTAGTATTGCAATACAGATAGGAAAACATCAATGTTGATATATTAGAAACGGATTTAATTTATTTCATTTATCTTCAATACATTTGAATACTGCATGTTTACCAGGTTATGGCTTTTCTTTGGATTCTTTGAATGGAATAGAAAGGGGGTTAATGATAACGCGATGGTTCAGTATTATTGCCTTTCTTTGTAAATTCCAAAGTTTGTGTTAAGATACGTTAATACATTTTATTTTAGACGCATGAAATAGGTGCCAATAATCTTTTTACTCTATATACCGACTGCGTGGTTTCAATAGGTAAGAACAGTGCATGAATCTATGGCCAATCGGCAAACGTGGTGAATAAATCGATTGCAGTGCCTCATAGTAAAAGTTCTTATAAAATATTCACGGAACAACTAATCGAAGCGGCTAACGATTCCGTAATCTCAGATTTTTTTAATTAGGACATTCAATGAAATGACAGCAATGTGGTCATGAAGACCCCATAAAATGTGTCAACATCTGCAATACTGAATGCGATCTTTAAACGAAACCCCATCAGCCCTTCTACGAAAAGCCACCTGCGCTTATATTACTGGACCGCCATAAAGGTTATTACAAAACCCCACCCCCAACCTTTGCCCGTTCCACCCCAAACCCTATTTTTATCCCACCCCCAACCTTTGCCCGTTCCACCCCAAACCCTATTTTTATCCCACCCCCAACCTTTGCCCG